CACAGTTACAGACGCACAGCCGGAGTGAGGGGTGAGCACAGTTACAGACGCACAGCCGGAGTGAGGGGTGAACACAGATGGATTGAGACACAGTTGCACACAATCCCCCTTCCTTTACCAGTATTTCTTGATGACCCGGTGCTGTCTGAAGAGATGCTGCACAGCCTGTGCCGTGTATAGGTCCCGGGCCAGCAGCATGGCCCCGCTGCTGTCCTTGTCCAGCCGGTGACAGAGGTGCAGGGGTGGCGCTTTCATCCCGAACATCATCTTGGCCAGGACAGGCAGCACCTCCTCGATGCTGGGACCCTCGCCAGGGGCAGCTGTTCCAGGGCGTGGGCATGGAGGGAGATGCAGGTAGAGAAATGGAGAAGGAGGTGAGAGACAACACAGGAGATATAATTCCGGGCCTCAGTCACCGCGCTATCCCCGCTCCCTCCCCCATGCTGCGCCGCCCCCGCTTACCAGACATGGGAACCCCGAAGGGTTTGTCGACCGCCAGCAGGTCTTGCCCGTGGGTGGTGACACTCTTCCGGAGCACCTTGGCGAGAACGTTCGGGTGGACCTTCTGCAGGCGTCGGCTCAGGCGACGGAGTTCCTCGACCGACTGGGAACTCGCGCCACTACTTGTCGATGGCTGGTAATGCAGGAGAGAGAGCGGGGAGGAGTGGGGAGCGGAGAGAGAGGTGAGCAAGGGGGAGAGAGAAGGTGAAGGAGGGAGGGATGGGAATCAGTGAGCGACTTGTCACCAGGATCAGCGCCTGGTGAGGGAGGGTAAAGGTTGCTTAGCCATGAGACCCCCCCGCCCCCAGCCATTGAATCGCAAAGCAGGAGGCACTGGCCTGCAAGTCTTGCATGAGGTTGGGGAGGGGGGGTGGGGGAGCACAGAATCACCAAGGCCCATTTTTTTGGGGGGGGGGGGGGGGGGAGGGAGATGGGGCCCTGCCTGACCCACACGAGGTGACATGCAGAAGCCGACTCCAGGTAGGAGGGAGGCCGGGTCCCTCAGCACCAGCCTTTATCCCCTGCCCCAGAGGGGATGAGCAGCAGGCCATTCAGCCCATCTTGTCTGCTTTGCCCTTCAACGGGATCGTGGCTGATCTCATCGTCCTCCACTCCACCTTCCTGCCCTTCTCCCCTATCAACCTCCGATTCCCTTCCTGATTAGAAATCGCTCTCTCTCAGCCTTGAATGACCCAGCTCTCTGTAGTAAAGAATCCCACATATCTGTTCCCCTCAGAGAGAAGATATTCCTCCTCATCTCCATCTTCAATGGGCGACCCCTTGTTCCGAGATGGTTCCCTCTGCTCCCTGACGCTCTCAGAAACTCTCCACATCTCCCGTCAGGATCCCCCCGCTCTGTGAAACTTCAATCAGGTCGCCTCTCATTCTTCTAAACTCCGGCAAGTCCAGACTCCGATCTACTCAACCTCTACCTCCGTAAGACAGTCCCTCCGTCCCCGGGATCAGCCAAGTGAGCCTTCTCTGGACTGCCTCCGGTGCCGGTCTATCCCTGCTTGGATAGGGGGCCCCCAGAACTGTTCGCAGGATTCCAGCTATGGTCCAACTCATGCCATGTGTCATTTTAGCCAAAACCTCCCAGCTTTCATACCCCCTTCCCTTCGAAATAAAGGCCAGCATTCTGTTTGCTTTCCCCATTCCCCGCAAAACTCAGGCATTAGCTCTTAGCAGTTCATGGACTGGGAGATGGATAGATTTTGAGGGGGGACACTGAGGGACATGGGGAGAGTGCGGGAGACTGGGAGACGGATGGATTTTTGGGGGGGGGAGACACTGAGGGACACGGGGAGAGTGTGGGAAACTCTCCATTGCCCCACCTCGATGACATCACACATGACCTCACCGGCCCCGCCTCTAAAGGTCTTGTGGCCGCGCCCCCTGACGTTTCAGAGCCCGCCCACGACGTCATTGCTGTCCATTTGTGACTTCACTCCCTCCTCCCACTTCAGTCACATCACCCGTCCAGTGACGTCACGCCCCTCTTCCCCTCCCCCACCTGGTGACCTACCGACGCCGTCTCTTGGGGGCGGGGCCGCTCGCGGCCGGACTGGAGACTCCGGCGGATTCCGGGGCCGAACGTGGGGAGCGGGCCCCATCCTTCGCGCTGCAGGAGACCGCGCCGGTGTCCGAGCCTCCACCCGAACAGCGCCGCCCGCGCCGCCATGATCGTCAACACGCTGCTCTCCACACACACACCGTCTGCCAGGCCAGGGATTGCACACGCCCCTTCCGGTCGTAACGGTACCCTGACCCCGCCCCTTCCGCCCGTAAGTCACTCTGACCCCGCCCCTATCGGCCACATTCCCCCACGCCCCCGCTCTGATCCCGCCTCTTCCGTCTGTAACCGCCACTCGGACCCCGCCCCTTCCGGTGTATCTGACCAATCCGCCATTCTGACTCCGCTGACACTTACCCCAACCACGCCCATTTCTCCGCCGCGTAACGTCCCAGACCCCGCCCTCTCCACGCACACCCATTCCCTCAGACCCCGCCCCTTCCATTCCCAACCGTCAATAAGACCACGCCCCCACTAGCCCCACCCATCACTCAGACTCAGACCCCGCCCCTTCCATTCCATAGCGTTATGCAGACCCCGCCCCCTCTAGCCCTACCCGCCACTCAGACCCCGCCCCTTCCAGCAGTTCAAATCCCAACCATCGCTCAGGCCCCGCCCCCCAGCCAAGACCCAGGTCCAACTGACCAGCCGCCACATTATCGTTCGCACGGTCACTCCGACGGCTCCAGCTCCTCCAAACACAACGACCCTACCGCGAGAGAATCTCTACACCCCACCTGCCCTTTCCTTGCCACAGTTGCGCGCATAAGACTCTTCTATTCCCTGGCGCGGAGCAGGCTTCGCTCGCCGTCCTCCTTGCCCATCCCTAGCTGCCCCTTCAGGCAGCTCGCCACCCCTATCTTCGGACGGGCAGCCGGGCTCAGAGACGTGATCCTGAAGAAAACGCGCTCGTCCGCCTCGCCTAATGACGACGCCAGGGACGCGCCTGGTCACGGACCGGGGCCGAGCATCATGGGATGGCGGGCATTGTCCGAACAACAAATCTCAGGGAAGGTGCTCTCCCAGAGCGAGCGGGACGAAGACAGAGAAAGAGCCGTCATGCAAAACAGAAAAAAAAAAGTCCCTTTTATTGACCGAGGCAACGAATTCAGTCCGAACCGGAGTCTGTTCCACCCATCCCCGGGGATCTCGGACCCGCAGGGCAGGGTCTCGCCAATAAGTCCACTGCTCTCCAACTCTTCTCCCCTCCCCCCTCACCTCGGAGGGAGACGGAGGGCTGGGGTGGCGCCGTCCTCGCTCCGATACCCGTCCTCCTGCCCCTCGCCGGCCTCCCGCATGGCCCCCGGCAGCTCGATGCGCCCCCTCTTGGCGTAGTGGCGGATGCGAGACTCCAGGCCCTCACAGCGCTCCCGCTCCAGCAGCCTCTTGTACCGCCGGGGCCTGACGCCCTCCGTCAGCGCGTCCGCCTGGCCAGCCGTCGCCTCCGGGAGCGGCGCCCCGTCCCGCAGGGGGTCCCTCCCGGATCCTGCAGAGACGCAGGAGTCAACGGGGTCAGGAAAACCGAGCCGTCGACACATCGCTTCCTCCCCCCACCACAACCTTTGACATGCATGTACCTTTCTCCCGTCCAGATCCCTCATCACCCCTTCCCAGAAAGTCCCTGGACATTCAGTGGTGTTACCATTCCCCCCCCCCCCCCTCCATTATCAACATCCTGGGGGGGTTCCCATTGAGCAGAAACTGTACCGGGCCCCCAGCCCCATATCAATCCTGTGGCAACAAGGAGCAGGTCAGAGGCCGGGAATCCTGTAACTCCCCTCCTCGCTACCCCCCCGCCCCTTCCCAAAGCCTGTCCCACCACCCACAAGGCACAAGGCAGACAGGGGGCCCCAAAACTGTTCAGAGTATTCCAGGTGCAGTCTAACCAGTGCCTCGTACAGTCTTAGGCAAAACTTCGCCATTTTTCTCGTCCTCCGGGACCCTCAGCACCTCAATCAAGTCGTTCCTCAGCCCTCGAAACTCCGCTGGACCTTGCCTAACCCTTGCCTGACAGCACGTCACTAACTTCAGATGTCTGTTGAGTAAACATCCAAATGCGTTCATAGCGTCGTACGGCACAGAAACAGACCCTTCGGTCCATCCAGTCCGTGCCGACCCTAATCCCAAACTAAACATGTCCCACGTCCCTGCTCCTGGCCCATATCCCCTCCAAACCTTTCCTATCTATGTACTTATCCAAATGTCTTTTTAACATTGTAACTGTACCCACATCCACCAGTTCCTCAGGTGTCAAAAATTTGTCCCGCACGTCTTTTTCAAATCTCTCTCCTCTCACCTTAAAAATGTGCCCCCCTGGTCTTGAAATCCCCCCACCCTGGGGAAAAGACACCTACCCATTCACCTTATCGTAACCCCTCATGGTTTTATAAACCTGTATAAGGTCACCCCTCAACCTCCTACACTCCAGTGAAAAAAACTCCCAGCCTCTCCTGATAACTCACACCCTCCATACCTGGCAACATCCTGGTAAATCTCTCCCAAACCGCGTCTCCAGTTTAATAACATCCTTCCTACAAAAGAACTGGGACACAGTGCTCCAGAAGGGGCCTCACCAACGTCCCCCTACAACCTCAACATGATGTCCCCGACTCCTACACTCAAAGCTCTGAGCGATGAAGGCAAGCGTGCTAAACACCTTCTTCACCCCTCTGTCTACCTGTGACACAAACTTCAATGAATTATGTCCCTGAGCCCCCGAAGTCTCTCTGTTACACAGGGAGCCCATAGCTATACACAGGTCTTGCGTTCGATCCAACCCCTGAACCTTCTCAACTACAATAAGGGTCCCTAACGATTTCTCCGAGGAAGTGCAGACCCTCAGAATGGACACAGGGTACCTGGTTCTTCCACGCTTGGCGCCTGTCCCAATCCCTGGAGCATCGAGTACAAGATCCGGGTTTTGATGGCATGCTGAGTCCACATGGTGTGGAGATTGGACACAGTGAAGCTCTGAGCATCTGGGTCGACAATCCACTCCAGGTTTTCGTAGGCGCAGTCATACAAGACCAGGGGGTAATCCACCGCCATGCTACAGACACAGACGGGAAAGGGCCAGAGTTCAGAACAAGGCAAATGTGAGAGGGAGCGCCGCACTGTCGGAGGGTCAGCGCTGAGGGAGCGCCGCACTGTCGGAGGGTCAGCGCTG